CCCCAAAACCCCAAAACCCCAAAACCCCAAAACCCCACTCTTCTAGCAAAAGGTAGAAATTCAGGTATTTTTACTTAAAAATAAGCAGCTCTCTCTTGGATCTTGGCATTCTCGTCATCTTCTTCTTGGGGAATAACTTGTAGATGGTCTTCTCTGCTCGAGAAGTCTAGCTTTGAAAAGAAGCTATCACATAAGTCATCAATGTTATCAAGTTGGACTGTGCTCTTCCAATAATTAGTGATTCCTTGATAAAGATCAGCCTTATACCCTCTGGGAGAAAGTACAGTTTTCGATAGTGGATTTGATATGAAAATAAGGCAGTCCTTGTTAAAAATATTGCTTTTAATTTCTTGATTAATCTCTGTTTCATGCTCTTTAATGAACTTGATAGAGATTGAGTTCATTGTATCCTCAATCTTTTTAGATTGGTAAACATTTTTACAGTAGGGATAATACTCTCTCCAGAGATAGCGTTTACCTGCATCAATCGAGCTTAACCTCTCGTTTTTGTGTTGGTCAACTTGATCTCTCAAAGTGCAGTTTCGCTTCATGCTTCTATATTCTATGGAAATTGTGAATTATGAGCAATTTAATCAAAAGAATATGAGATTCATTATACTGAATCCCAGGCTTACTTTCCAATGGTTGGTCAGCTTTTATCCGATCGTAGTTAAGAACTAACTGAGCCAAGGTCAGTCTACGGATATTAATGGTGATAAATAGTGTATGTAAGTGCTTAAATTCATAACATTCAGTTCCAAGTATTTCCTATAACATCACTAATTAAATGAAAGCTATTTTCTATATTGATAGTGTAAATTTCAATCTAAATTAGGAACCAAATGAAACTTCAGAGAAGATTCTCATACCTCTTCTTCAATCTTTTTGATTATGTCACACCGGTTGTTCTTGAAATCTTCAAGAGGAGTCCAGATCCTTGGCTCCGGAGCTCACCCAGTGAGCTCCTGGTATTTATTGAGTGCACTTTCATACTTCTCGAATGAGTCTTTAGGAGAAATATAGGAGGCACAAAATTGGTCAGGAAAGATATGCCTTCCTAAAAACAACTTTGAGATGACTCTTGTGTAGTTCTCAAAGAATTCATAGTGGGCCTTCCAAACCTCGCTGATGATGTGAGATGGCACAGCATGATTTTGTGTAGAAGGATCTTGCGCCAAGATGGCTAAGTAGATAAAGTACTCTCTGATCCATCTCTCGGCTGTCTTAATTATTTATGATGAATCTTGTGGCAAGCTTGGTGGTGAACAGCACTTTAATATCTTTCGTCTTTCTCTCCATATTTTCGAGGAAGTCGTCAAGTCTAACACTGCTTTGATCTTGCAGAGTGATCATGGATCAAAGAGAACTTGATACTTCTTGCTCCTTGATGTTGGAATGATCTTCAAGTGTAGTTTTGAAGAATTTTCTGAGAACCATTTTGAAATCTCTTCTCGAAATCATATCTTCTTGAGAAAAGGGTTCTTCACGATGATGAAGCTTGTGCCTTTTAGGCTCTCCTTTGCTATCTTCAGGTTCTTTCTTATCCTGGTGTTTATGACTGTCCTTGGGTTCCTCTATCTCCTTGCTAATGATTTGCTCAATTTCGTTCTCTATCATATCAAAAGTTCAGTAAAGTTCAGGAACTGTGAGACAGACAAAGCCATTGTAATCCTCTTCAAAATGCTTTTCTTCAATATACTTTGGCCATAATGGCTGGTAGTGTTTAATCACTTCCATATTTTCATTGGCATACCTCAGTGTCTTTTGGTACTTCTCGAAATGGTCGACGGTTTGGTCAAGAATAGATTCTCTGACTAGATATCCTCCTAGGATTTCTTCTCAAAAATTGAAATACTCCTGAGTTGGATACAGTTTTACCCAAACTTGGTCAATGTAAGGAGGTGCTCAGAGACCCTTGTAGACTTTAACATCCTTTCCATTAATGGTAAGCTTGGGCAAATTGGCTTTATTCCCTCTAAATGTTATAGTGATCTCAAGATTTACTCTCTGTTTTCAATGTCGATCATTATCGTGTTAAGGTACAAAAATTTAATGAATTCACATATCAAAATGTGAGCAATATGAGGAGAGCTGAAGCCAAGGTCATTTGTCAATGAAACCATCACATTTTCTCATAGTGATATATCTTTTTGGTGTTCAGCACTCTCTAAATATTGAAGTTTTAATAAAAGATACGATTTATGAGATTTTTGTTCCAGTCAAAAAGAGCCACCTTTCTGAAAAGAGCCATGCGTTCTTTGTGAGGGTAATTTTCAAGAGTGTGAGTTAAATCACCTATCTCCCGCCCTCTTGCTCATCAAAATGAACCTCCCATTTTGAACTGTTGTAAATTTTATTTAATAAATACCTTTTATTTAGTTCAGTTAAGATACCACCTTAAGGGGTTTTGGGGTTTTGGGGTTTTGGGGTTTTGGGG